TCTGTCTGCCTCTCATCCATCTGACGCTCTGATTCTGAACTGATCTTATCTGATTCTCGCTCACTTCTTATTTCAAGCAAGAATCACCTTACCATCTCTGTTACATAGAACTAGATACGTACATATATATCTATACTTGTATACTATGTACTACATAGAATCGTAACGGTGACGGTTATACGATAAAGCGACGCCGATCGTCTCTGTGAGAAATGGTGTGTTTCTTTCTTTTCAGTGAGTTTTCACAGTGAATGGAACGAAAGTAGGACTGCCTGTTTGTAATAACTATAGATATATTCGTATATATACAGAGTGTCCGGGAATTGTGGTGCCTCCGGGAAGCGGGGGATTCCTGAGGCGATTTCAAGCAACTTTCTCCTTAGCGAAAATGTTCTACGAGGCTTCGTTCGCGAGTTATTCGCGAAAAACGGCGACCAATCGGAGCGCTAGTGTGGCCCGCGCTCCGCCCTCGCGACCGGTGCCGCGTCGCGTCGGCCGTGCGGCGCAGCGTACGCGCAGCCTCCGTCGCGAGGGCGGCGCGTCAGCCGTGCGCGATCTCTCGTTGGTCAGTGTTTCTTCGTTGATAACTCGTGAACGATGCGTCGGAGAGAATTTTTGTAAAGGAAAAAGTTGCTCCAAATCGCCTCGGGAACCCCTCGTTTCGCGCTCGTACAATAATTCTCGGACACCCTGTGTATTATACCGACACATACATGTACGTACGCGTGCCACACATGTGTCCATAGGAGAAACCGTAGAGCGTGATGCAAGAAGGTTTGCGATACGTGTATACCATGCATGGACGTGGTTTGCAAACGGTCCTGCGAGGCTCCCGAGAGCGATCCCCAGGGATCAGAAACGTGCGACGCCGTGCCGTTATTTGATTGTTTAATCGGTTTGCACGATGCATCCCGGTAGAAGTATGTGGAACATATTGCATAACCCCGTAGCAGTAAGACGAAATGTTTTTCAGCGGAGAGTTTTGCCAAATCGCGCGGAAAGAAAAACGATGGTAGCCTATGATATAGGATATCATCGAGTTATAGTTATATATACTCGTCGAGTATAGTGTTTTCGAACGAGTTCTGCATCGCAGTGACTTTAATCCCTGGCCACGGCGGAGGAAATTGTTTGCGTTGGAATTATTCGACGCGAGCTTTCAGGGACAACGACGACGCTTGAATCCTCGCGCTCTTCAGGGGTGCCTATAAATTTCTTGAAGAGCTCACGGCATCTTAATTAAGTGACAGAGTCGAATCGGAACAGATACGCGATCGAATTACTCAAGGAATTATAATTACAAAGTAATTATAATTCAAAATATTATAATTATATACATATTATAATATTATATATATATATAT